ATAGAGCAAAATGGTATAGATATTTACAATCAGCAGTCCAAGAATATGTAAGATCGCAACCATGAATAAAAATAAAAATTATAAACATTCCAAATGGAGACCAGTGTTAACAATCATGCCTGTGTCATCAACAGTCATTGGTAAGTCATCATCAGTCAAGTGTAAGGCACCACATGTCATGGGTAAGAAATCACTAGCCATGGGTAAGTCATCATCAGTCACTGGTAAGTCATTATCATTCATGAGTAAGTCATCATCTGTCACAAGTAAGTCATAATCAGTGGGGTAAATTATCACCGGTCTGGGATTATCCCCCAACAGTCATGACCAGTCAAGACATCACTGTTACTTTGTGGTGACAATAGTGGAAGAAATCGTAGCAGTATAATTAGTTGTGTATGTTAAACTTCTATAAACATTTTTCATTGATGGTCCAGTGGGATATTTGTGGTGCGTCTTCTATCACTGATCCTGGCAAAGTTGTTAGTTGCTTCTTTCCTTAGCAGCATCATGGGTGAAGTTTCACCTGCAGATAGCATGGGAAAATAAGGAAAGGTGTTTCTATATCTTTTTTTTCCCAAGTACTTTGATACTGACGAAATAGTGCGTATGTAAGTCATGATAAGTGTGCGTTATCAACACTGATACTGAGAAAATAGTGCGCATAATAGTCTCTAAGAGGCGCGTGAGTTTACTTGTCTCCTAATGTTATGTTTATTATTACTATTGCATTTCCTTTGTGTTAGTCTGTCAGACATAGTCTGCGATAATATGTTCATCTATAACATACGATGAGGGTTCATATGTTCCTCTGCCAGATATGCTTATTATTCATGTGTTCATTTTTGAGGTATACTCAGTGATTATTAGTAAGCCATATAACATGTACAAAGGTACACAAAACTAGTACAACATATTTACTTGTGTGTGAGTGAGAGAGAGCGTTACTATATTCACTTCTGAGTGAGAGAGAGAGTTACTATATTCACTTCTGAGTGAGAGAGAGTTACTATATTCACTTCTGAGTGAGAGAGTTACTATATTCACTTCTGAGTGAGAGAGAGTTACTATATTCACTTCTGAGTGAGAGAGAGTTACTATATTCACTTCTGAGTGAGAGAGAGAGTTACTATGTTCACTTCTGAGTGAGAGAGAGCGTTACTATATTCACTTCAGAGTGAGAGAGAGAGTTACTATATTCACTTCTGAGTGAGAGAGAGCGTTACTATATTCACTTCTGAGAGAGAGAGAGAGTTACTATATTCACTTCTGAGTGAGAGAGAGCGTTACTATATTCACTTCTGAGAGAGAGAGAGAGTTACTATGTTCACTTCTGAGTGAGAGAGAGCGTTACTATATTCACTTCTGAGTGAGAGAGAGCGTTACTATGTTCACTTCTGAGTGAGAGAGAGCGTTACTATGTTCACTTCTGAGTAGAGAGAGCGTTACTATATTCACTTCTGAGTGAGAGAGAGCGTTACTATATTCACTTCTGAGTGAGAGAGAGCGTTACTATATTCACTTCTGAGTGAGAGAGAGCGTTACTATATTCACTTCTGAGTGAGACAGAGCGTTACTATATTCACTTCTGAGTGAGAGAGAGCGTTACTATATTCACTTCCGAGAGAGCGTTACTATATTCACTTCTAAGAGAGAGAGCGTTACTATATTCACTTCTAAGAGAGAGAGCGTTACTATATTCACTTCTAAGAGAGAGAGCGTTACTATATTCACTTCTGAGAGAGCGTTACTATATTCACTTCTGAGTGAGAGAGAGCGTTACTATATTCACTTCTAAGAGAGAGAGAGCGTTACTATATTCACTTCTAAGAGAGAGAGCGTTACTATATTCACTTCTGAGAGAGCGTTACTATATTCACTTCTAAGAGAGAGAGCGTTACTATATTCACTTCCGAGAGAGCGTTACTATATTCACTTCTAAGAGAGAGAGCGTTTCTATATTCACTTCTGAGAGAGCGTTACTATATTCACTTCTAAGAGAGAGAGCGTTACTATATTCACTTCCGAGAGAGCGTTACTATATTCACTTCTAAGAGAGAGAGCGTTACTATATTCACTTCCGAGAGAGCGTTACTATATTCACTTCTAAGAGAGAGAGCGTTACTATATTCACTTCTAAGAGAGAGAGCGTTACTATATTCACTTCCGAGAGAGCGTTACTATATTCACTTCTAAAGAGAGAGAGCGTTACTATATTCACTTCTAAGAGAGAGAGCGTTACTATATTCACTTCTGAGAGAGCGTTACTATATTCACTTCTGAGAGAGCGTTACTATATTCACTTCTGAGTGAATGAGAGAGAGCGCAAGAATATTCACTTTGGTTGAGGGAGAGAGCGTTAGTATAATTTCTGATTGAAGGAGACAAAGAGAGAGAGAGAGAGAGAGAGAGAGAGAGAGAGAGAGAGAGAGAGAGAGAGAGAGAGAGAGAGAGAGAGAGAGAGAGTTTATGTATTCATTCGACAGAGAGCATTAGAATATTTACTCCAGAAGTTTCTGAGTGGAAGAGAAGGCTTTAATATATTCACTAGGATAGTTTCCGTGAGAAGAGCGAGCATTTGTATATTCGCTCAGACAGATTCTGAGTGAAGGAGTGAGAAAGCTATTACTTTCTCTCAGGTAGTTTCTAAATGTATGCTGGCCTCATCGTATGAAGTTGTCATAATACAAAAGCTGCAACAAGTCGAGCTGTTTCCTGTGAATAAGTTCTCCACGGTGTACTGTTGTGTCTGCACACAATGTAGTAACAGTCAGTATGAACACAGAACCATGTTATTAAGTCTATAAGTCAGTTTTGCAGATGGTTTACAGTGGGGTTAAGCACAAAAGTACTTCACTCCACTCGGCTGAAATCATTGGCTTTATATTTTAAACCTACTCTAGTGCTTTAGAAAATATTAAAGTGCTTTTCTGATTGAAATTTATATTATTAGAATATCATATTTTTTTATTAAGCTACTTCATAACTTTTTACTTACAAAGGGAAATTAAATTTTTTCCCTAAACGAGAAATATACAAAATTTGTCATAGTTGTGGTATCTTCGCTCTGTGCTGGATACCGTCTAGGACTCTTGGTTATTTTGTTTATATTCTGTCACAATTATGGTGATCAAAACCGTACAAAATATTCAAGAATAAATACTGACAATTGCATTGTGAAACTGGTTTTATAGATCCAAGCCCGAACGATCTACGTATGAAGCTAAAGTTTCTGTAGGTCTTTTACTGCTTAAGCACATACGAAACGAGGTACTAACGGCACTGCTTTTTGCATGCTAAAATTGTTACTAACATTCTGCTTAAATTCCCTCCACTCTTTCTCTCGATGAAACTCCTCTTATGCAAATGCACGTTGCTCTCTGGTTGTTTCAACACTGAGTTTAGCTAACTCAAGCATCAACGATGCTGACTCGCCCTGAGACAAACCCGATGCACCACCTGCTTCACGAAATTGCTGGTCTGATTGCTCTTGTGTCGGCCCTCTCACACTACGAAGGAACCTAAACTGAGATCGGTGATTAATAGCTCTGTAACAGGAGATACCTCAGTTTGGTGCGCCATACTTGCTTCAGTCTTTAATTTGGTACGAATAACGTCACTAAGGTGGGCAGCAGTAAGAGTTTGTTGGTATTCTATGAAAATGGAACGAACAATTCGCCAGCAGCGATGTACAGATAGTTTGGGAAATTTTAGAAGAGTATACTCACACACCAGTTGCCTCGCATGGTGGCACAAACCCTAAAAA